TCAGCCACCACTACCCCAGCTGTGTTGTTTGACTCCTTCAATGGAGATGGAGGCAACACAGAAGCAGGTTTTGGGGACGAGGAAGATGATGATGAGGTTTTAGATAGCTCACAGCAAACAGGTGGAGAAATCGGTTTTCCCAACAGCCAGGAACTGTTTCTCACCCTGGACCTGGAGCCAATACCCCCCAAACCCACCCAAGGCTGCCTCCTGGACCCGCCAGGCAGAGAAGGGACCTCTGGTGAGTGTACCTTTAAAAATACTATACATTGTTTAAAAGCAAGCATGTTTAATGATCAATTTGCCCTGGCATTCGCGGCTCTTCTGGATGTACTCCCAAAGCCTTAGCAAAAGGTTTCTGAGGAGGGCAGCCTTATTCCATCCACCATGGTAGGACACTCTACCACTCCAGGCCAGTAGCACGTACTCAGGAATCATTGTAGAACAAAGCATTGCAGTGTATGTTTGCTGGCATTCAAACAACATCCGTTCTTTATCTCTCTGTGTTATCCTCAGGAGAGTGGTTACCTGGTTGAAATAGGGTGCTTTTCTTAAGGGGACATTCAGAGGTGCCTGTTCCTGCTGGGCTGTTTGCTTGTAGCTGAACAGAAATGTTCCCCGCTGTTAGCCACGGGCAGGGTGGAGGGTGGAGGGGCTAGCCACGCGCTGGGGGGAGGCAAAATGCGACCTTGGAACGAAAACACATGTGCTATGTATGTAATGTTAACAGCAAGGTTTACCGTGAAAGAGTGTACCCATTGTTCATCAAGGGGGAGTGTACCCATTGTTCATCAAGGAGAAACAAACAGAACTTTCACACCGTAGCCTGGACAGTCATGAAACTGGTTTTCAAAGCTTCTGTGATGCGCACCGCGCCCTCCTGTGCTCTTCTAACCGCCCTGATGTCTGGCTGTGCGTAACCAGCAGCCAGGCGATTTGCCTCAACCTCCCACCCCGCCATAAATGTCTCCCCCTTACTCTCACAGATATTGTGGAGCGCACAGCAAGCAGTAATAACAGTGGGAATATTGGTTTCACCGCGGTCTAACCGAGTCAGTAAACTGCGCCAGCGCGCCTTTAAACGTCCAAATACACATTCTACCACCATTCTGCACTTGCTCAGCTTGTAGTTGAACAGCTCCTGACTACTGTCCAGGCTGCCTGTGTACGGCTTTATGAGCCATGGCGTTAAGGGGTAGGCTGGGTCCCCAAGGATACATATAGGCATTTCAACGTCCCCAACAGTTATTTTCTGGTCTGGGAATAAAATCCCTTCCTGCAGCTTTTGAAACAGACCAGAGTTCCTGAAGATGCGAGCGTCATGTACCTTTCCCGGCCATCCCACGTTGATGTTGGTGAAACGTCCCTTGTGATCCACCAGAGCTTGCAGCACTATTGAAAAGTACCCCTTGCGGTTTATGTACTCGCCGGCTTGGTGCTCCGGTGCCAAGACAGGGATATGGGTTCCGTCTATGGCCCCACCATAGTTAGGGAATCCCATTGCAGCAAAGCCATCCACTATGACCTGCACACTTCCCAGGGTCACTACCCTTGATATCAGCAGATCTTTGATTGCGTTGGCTACTTGCATCACAGCAGGCCCCGCAGTAGATTTGCCCACTCCAAATTGATTCCCAACTGACGGGTAGCTGTCTGGCGTTGCAAGCTTCCACAGGGTATTGCCACTCGCTTTTCAACTGTGAGGGCTGCTCTCATCTTGGTATTCTTGCACCTCAGGGCAGGGGAAAGCATGTCACAAAGTTCCATGAATGTGCCCTTACGCATGCAAAAGTTTCGCAGCCACTGGGAATCGTCCCAGACCTGCAACACTATCATAGAATATCATAGCATATCAGGGTTGGAAGGGACCTCAGGAGGTCATCTAGTCCAACCCCCTGCTCAAAGCAGGACCAATCCCCAATTAAATCATCCCAGCCAGGGCTTTGTCAAGCCTGACCTTAAAAACTTCTAAGGAAGGAGATTCTACCACCTCCCTAGGTAACGCATTCCAGTGTTTCACCACCCTCCTAGTGAAAAATTTTTTCCAATATCCAACCTAAACCTCCCCCACTGCAACTTGAGACCGTTACTCCTTGTCCTGTCCTCTTCTACCACTGAGAATAGTCTAGAACCATCCTCTCTGGAACCACCTCTCAGGTAGTTGAAAGCAGCTATCAAATCCCCCCTCATTCTTCTCTTCTGCAAACTAAACAATCCCAGTTCCCTCAGCCTCTCCTCATAAGTCATGTGTTCCAGACCCCTAATCATTTTTGTTGCCCTTCGCTGGACTTTCTCCAATTTATCCACATCCTTCTTGTAGCGTGGGGCCCAAAACTGGACACAGTACTCCAGATGAGGCCTCACCAATGTCGAATAGAAGGGAACGATCACGTCCCTCGATCTACTCGCTGTGCCCCTACTTATACATCCCAAAATGCCATTGGCCTTCTTGGCAGCAAGGGCACACTGCTGACTCATATCCAGCTTCTCGTCCACTGTCACCCCTAGGTCCTTTTCCGCAGAACTGCTGCCTAGCCATTTGGTCCCTAGTCTGTAGCGGTGCATTGGGTTCTTCCGTCCTAAGTGCAGGACCCTGCACTTATCCTTATTGAACCTCATCAGATTTCTTTTGGCCCAATCCTCCAATTTGTCTAGGTCCCTCTGTATCCTATCCCTGCCCTCCAGCGTATCTACCACTCCTCCTAGTTTAGTATCATCCGCAGATTTGCTGAGAGTGCAATCCACACCATCCTCCAGATCATTTATGAAGATATTGAACAAAACCGGCCCCAGGACCGACCCCTGGGGCACTCCACTTGACACCGGCTGCCAACTAGACATGGAGCCATTGATCACTAGCCATTGAGCCCGACAATCTAGCCAACTTTCTACCCACCTTATAGTGCATTCATTCAGCCCATACTTCTTTAACTTGCTGACAAGAATACTGTGGGAGACAGTGTCAAAAGCTTTGCTAAAGTCAAGAAACAATACATCCACTGCTTTCCCTTCATCCACAGAACCAGTAATCTCATCATAGAAGGCGATTAGATTAGTCAGGCATGACCTTCCCTTGGTGAATCCATGCTGACTGTTCCTGATCACTTTCCTCTCATGTAAGTGCTTCAAGATTGATTCTTTGAGAACCTGCTCCATGATTTTTCCGGGGACTGAGGTGAGGCTGACTGGCCTGTAGCTCCCAGGATCCTCCTCCTTCCCTTTTTTAAAGATTGGCACTACATTAGCCTTTTTCCAGTCATCTGGGACTTCCCCTGTTTGCCACGAGTTTTCAAAGATAATGGCCAATGGCTCTGCAATCATAGCCGCCAATTCCTTTAGCATTCTCGGATGCAACTCGTCCGGTCCCTCCAGTCTGTACTTGTTTCCCGAGCCCAGAATCGGTGTTCCATGAACCTGCTCCATTAGCACCATGATGCCCACATTGCCAGGGCCCGTGCTTTGAGAGAAGTCTGTGTCCATGTCCTCATCACTCTTGTCACCGTGCTGATGTCGCCTACTTGCCCGGTTTCGCTTTGCCAGGTTCTGGTGCTGCATATACTGCTGGATAATGCGTGTGCTTTAATGTGCTCCTAATTGCCAAAGTGATCTGAGCGGGCTCCATGCTTGCCGTGGTATGGCATCTGCACAGAAAAAAGGCGCGGAACAATTGTCTGCCATTGCCCTGACAGAGGGAGGGGTGACTGATGACATGGCTTATAGGGTTGGCTTACAGGGAATTAAAATCAACAGAGGGGGTGGCTTTGTGAGAAACAGAATGGCCCCCTCAAGGATAGAACTCAAAACTGGGTTTAGCAGGCCATTGATTTCATGGAGGGAGGAGAAGATGAATACAAAACATATCTGGTCTATTTCTTGTTTTGGTCCATTTCATCTATCGTTATACATCTTGCTGGCAGCAGACTGTACGACCGCTAGCCATCGTCCTCTCCTGGGTGCCCGGCAGAAGACGGTGCAGTATGACTGCTGGCCATCATCTTCTGCTGGCTGCTGATTAAAAGACAGTGCACTGCCGGTAGGACTGAATCGTCATGAGACGAAACTTAAAAGGGAAATGACCTTTCTGAGTCACTCCCATGTTTGCCGAGGCGCCCTTGACCTCATTGAGGTCAGTTAAAAGAGCACCCAGGACTACGTCGACGACGGCCACCAGTCATACTGCACCGTCTGCTGCCAAAAGGCAATAAACTGCTGCTATGTAGCAATGCAATACCGCATCTGCTAGCACCCAGGAGACATAGGGTGACGGTTAGCTGAGCGGGCTCCATGCTTGCTGTGGTATGGCGTCTGCACAGGTAACTCAAGAAAAAAGGCGCAAAACGATTGTCTGTCCTTCCTTTCATGGAAGGAGGGAGGGAAGGGGGGCCTGACGATATGTACCCAAAACCACCCGTGTCAATGTTTTAGCTCCATCAGGCACTGGGATTTCTATCCAGAATTCAAATGGGCGGTGGAGACTGCGGGAACTGTGGGATAGCTACCCACAGTGCAATGCTCCGGAAGTCGACGGTTGCCTCGGTACTGTGGATAAACTCCGCCAACTACATGCACTTAGAGCATCTGTGTGGGGACGCACACAATCGACTGTATAAAAACGCTTTCTACAAAACCGACTTCTATAAATTCGACCTAATTTCGTAGTGTAGACATACTCTTAGTCACCCAACTCACATTGACTTTCAAGGGGAGCTGATAACTAAGAGCTTGGCTACACTTGCGAGTTAGAGCGCATTAAAGGAGCCCCAGGTCCACTAGCTCACTACCCGTCCACACTGGCAAGGCACATAGAGCGCTCCTGGTACTCCACCTCGGTGAGTGGAATAACATTTTGTGTGCCCCCGCTGGAGCGCCCCGGCACCAGTGTGGACACCCTGGTCCTATAGTGCGCTCTGATCAGACTCCAGAAGTGTCTCACAATGCCTGTTCTAGCCACTCTGGTCATCACTTTGAACTCTACTGCCCTGCCCTCAGGTGACCAACCGTCACCTTTAAATTCTCTGGGAATTTTGAAAATCCCCTTCCTGTTTGCTCAGCCAGGTGTGGAGTGCTCTCAGCGAATCTTTCCAGGTGACCATGGCTCCATGCACCAGGCGATCCCCAGTATGGAGCAATGGCGAGGTGCTGGACCTCATCAGTGTTTGGACGGAGGAAGCTGTCCAGTCCCAGCTGCGCTCCAGCTGTAGGAATTACGATACCTTCGGGCAGATATCAAGGGACATGATGGAAAGGGGCCATGACCCGGACATACTGCAGTGCAGGGTTAAAGTGAAGGAGCTGCGAAATGCCTATTGCAAAGCCCGTGAAGCAAACAGCCGCTCCGGTGCTGCCCCTGTGACCTGCCGTTTCTACAAAGAGCTGGATGTGAAACTAACGGGTGACTCCACCTGCACTCCGAGTACCACCATGGACACTTCAGAGCCCAGTTCAACAAGGCAGGAGGAGGAGGAGCAAAGTGGGAGCAAGGGTGCTGAGACGGAGGAAGACACCCCAGCATCCCTAGATGCATGCAGCCAGGAGCTGTTCTCAAGCCAGGAGGAAGGTAGCCAGTCGCAGCAGCCAGTGCTTGGGGAAGGACAAACACCAGAGGAGGTTCCCAGTAAGCGGCTTTTATTTTGGGAAGGAAGTGGGTTAGGGCTGCATGCATGCCTAGAATAGGGCATTGATGTGCTCTCTCACATTATGGTAATCTCTTCAAAGGTCTCATCCAGAATGTGGGCAATGTGCTTGTGCAGGTTTCTTGGGAGAGCCACTGTGGTTCTTGTCCCAATAAGGCTAACTTGTCTGCCCCACTGTGCCGTGTGGGGCGGGGGGACCATTGCTGCACACAGGCAAGCTGCATATGGGCCAGGGCGGAAGCCGCATTGCAGTAGAAGACCCTCTCTTGCTTCCCACGTCACCCTCAGCAGCGAGATATCTTCCAGGATGAACTCCTGTGGAAAATGTGGGGACAGTGTTCAGTATAGGGGCCCCCTGCCGCTGTTGGCTCTCCCCAAGGTGCGAAAACCCAGAGGACAGTACAGCCATGAAACAATCAGTCACGCTTGACCTTGTGCTTACTCGCCATTTTGGGGCTCCCGTGGCTTATGTGAGCTCGCTTTGGGACAGGCAAATTATGCTATTCTGTAGACTGTGCTTGGCCTTAAGTATGAGGAAATCATTGCTCTGTCTGATGTGAATAATGATGCCTCTGTTAAGTGTTGCATTTTGCCTTTACAGATGCAACCTTGAGATCTCAGCCGTCCATGTTATCACCGGCCGAAAGACTCCAAAGAATCAGAAAGAGGCCACGTAGAAGCAAGGAAGACATGTTGCATGAAGTAATGCAGCATTCAAGTAATGAAAATCAAAAAGTGCAGGAGTGGCAGAACAGTGAAAGGAGGCTCCGCCAGCAGAATGAGGAGCGCCAGCACAAAAGTGCGGTGCTCCGGCAGCAAAGCACGGATCGGCTGATAAGCATAACAGAGCGCCAAGTGGACTCTGTGCAGGCGCTCGTAGTCATGCAGGCGGAGCACTACTGCACCCCGCCTCCCCTTCCCTCCGCAGCCCTTGTCCCAGAACTCTTTCCCTTGTGCCCCCATGTCACCTCCAACTCAACATCCGGGTTCTTACCACCACCAGCTGCCTCCAACACCTGAAGCTTCACCACCGAGCCCTGAAAACTACGACCCTTACCCACTGCACTCAACCCCCATCACCATGCAATATAGCCATCCTGAAGTGTAGCACTCATTGCACAGCACTCCAGACAGGAAGGCTGAGTATGATAACAGGACATACGCAAATCTGTGATTGTACCGTTCCCCACCCCACCTCCTTGCCCTTTCTGTTTCCCAAGCAGTTGTGTTTCTTTTCAATAAATGGATTTTCTTTTCAATAAATGGATTTTTTGGCTTTGAAAACCTTCTTTATTATTGCATAAAGTAAAAGATACCTTAGCCCAGGAAAGAAACAGGCACTGCAAGTCAGCGTAGCAAACACAGATTCCTATGAACATTGGAACCACTGCACTTCATTCCCGTGCAGGGCATCAGACATTACTGGTGGCTTTCAGCCTCAAATTGCTCCCTCAAGGCATCCCTAATCCTTGCAGCCCCGCGCTGGGCCCCTCTAATAGCCCTGCTCTCTGGCTGTTCAAATTCAGCCTCCAGGTGTTGAACCTCCAAGTTCTATGAGTGAACTCATAGAGCCTGAGTGAATCGTTCACCTTCCCCTTCACAAATGTTATGGAGGGTATAGCATGCGGATATAACCACGGGGATGCGGTCATTGGCCTGTTCCAGCTTCCCATGCAGAGAGTGCCACACTACAGTCATTCTGCACTAGCTCAGTCTGTTGTTGAACTGCTCCTTGTTGCTGTCAAGGCTCCCTGTGTAGGGTTTCATGAGCCACGGCATTAAAGGGTAAGTGGGATCTCCAAGGATCACAGTGGGCATTTCGACTTCCCCTATGGTGATCTTCTGCTCTGGGAAAAAAGTCCCGGCTTGCAGCTTCCTGAACAGGCCAGTGTTCCAAAAGATGCATGCGTCATGCACTTTTCCGGGCCAGCCTGTGTTAATGTCTATGTCACAGTGATCCACAAGCGCCTGAAGAACCATAGAGAAATACCTCTTCCGATTAACGTACTTGGAGGCTAGGTGGGCTGGTGCCAGAATTGGAATATGTGTGCCATCTATTGCCCCTCTGCAGTTAGGGAAACTCATTTATAGATTCATAGATATTACGGTCAGAAGGGACCATTATGATCATCTAGTCTGACCTCCTGCACAACGCAGGTCACAGAATCTCACCTACCCACTCCTGCGAAAAACCTCTCACCTATGTCTGAGGTATTGAAGTCCTCAAATCATGGTTTAAAGACTTCAAGGAGCAGAGAATCCTCCAGCAAGTGACAGACATGGAGACCAAGCTTTTGTCTCATCCCTAGAGGTCCCTCTGCAGAGGCTTTGAGTACTGTACATTGGTGGGACAGGGTGGAGAATCTCACAGATGCTGCCTGTGGTTCTCCTGTTCCATCAAGACCATTCTGATGCACTAACATCACTTAGAAAATACAGAAAAAGCATTCAGTGTCCCCCACACTGCTTTAAGATTGTGCAAAGCCATCCACAATGTCATGCACGTTACCCAGAGTCACGGTTCTTCTGAGCAGGATGCAATTAATGGCCCTGCAAACTTGCATCAATACGATTCCAAAGGTAGACTTTCCCACTCCAAACTGGTTAGCGACTGATCGGTAGCTGTCTGGAGTTGCCAGCTTCCAGATTGCAATAGCCACCCACTTCTACACCATCAGGGCAGCTCTCAATCTCATGTCCTTGTGCCGCAGGGAGGGGGTGAGCTTCTCACACAGTCCCACGGAAGTGGCTTTTCTCATCTGAAAGTTCTGCAGCCAATGCTAGTCATCCCAGACTTGCATGACAATGTGATCCCACCACTCAGTGCTTGTTTCCGGAGCCCAAAAGCAGCGTTCCACAGCGGTGAGCATGTCTGTGAATACCACAAGCAAACTCGTGTCATATGCGTTACTCGAGTCGATATTGTCAGAGTCCTCGCTGTCACTTTGGATCATAAAGATTGCCAAACACGACGTCCTGGCGAGACTCGTCAGCATACTCCTCAGCAGTTCGGGCTCCATTCCTTCAGACCGAAAAGGAAGACAGAGCGCGCAGTACAAAAAACGTTGAAAGATGGCGCCAAATGTTGACGGAAGCACAGGGATTGCTGGGATGCGAACCGATACATCACGGGGCGTTGGGACAAGACCCAGAATGTCCCGCACCCTTCCCACAAGCACAGCGCCAGAATGGGACAAAGTGCTCTGTGGGATAGCTGCCCATAATGCACTGCTCCCAATGCCGCTGCAAGTGCCACAAATGTGGCCACGGCAGTGCACTTGCAACTGTCAGTGTGGACAGACTGCAGCGCTTTCCCTGCTGTGCTCTCCGAAGGCGGGTTTAACTCAAAGTGCTCTACATCTGCAAGTGTAGCCATGCCCTAACTCCTTTATGCCTTCTGAAAATCCCAGCCTGATTTAATACACTGTATGATAGTGAAACTCCTGTATAAAGTTGCGTTGGAGAAATGAGTGACACGGATATAAAGTGAGGGATTTATGAAGCAAAAATAAATTTTGAATTGTGTATCATGCATTCTAAATGTCTGCATTAGAGGGGAATCTAATTTATTAACACCTAATTGCATGTTGGTATATTCAGACCCCCACATTCCCCTGTCAAAAAACAAACAAAAAAACTCCACACTACACATACACCTTGCAGAAGCCCTCTCTGGTTCCTCATTGTTTTAAGGTTAGATTTCTCAGTTCTGATCTATCACAGGCAAATTGACATATTTGTTAAAAACATAATCCTGAAGAGAAACTTCATGGATTGATTACAAAATCCCATCAGAAAACCTTTTAAATTAGAAGCTCATGTAGCTTAAAATAGACAGACTTTTTTATGGTTTATTAAAAGTTTCTCCAGTAATTTGGTTACACTGAATCCTGTATGTAAAGTACATGAGTTATTTATTTAATCATTTTTGTCATGCTTCTTACCATGAAACATCAGTGGTATCTATGGCTGGTATCAATCATGCCATCTCATATATTATTGGGTGAAGCATATAGGTTTGGATAAGGTAGCAAGCGGCTAGTCACATTCATTGTTTTTAAAAGGCAAGAAACTGAGCTTTACATTTACGCATTCATTCAGCTCTTCACTTCCAAAGATGGTCTGCAAATATTGAAAGTCTAAATGAGTGAACGTGGCTCTGCATTGAATTTGCTGCCTGAAATATTCCACTGTAAAGCATCTAGGGTCAAATTCTGACCCCTCAATTGACAGGGCTGCACTGGGTCTAAGTGAGTGTGGTACTTGGCCCCTGACAAGGGAACAGACCAGAAATGTTTGCAAGGCTGTGACTAGAACGCTAATCAGATGAGTTTACTTACAATTTTGAATTAACAGATTTTGAATTCAACAAATGTATTGCTTTAACCCTTTAGTCTTTTGTAACAAACCCAGCTCTTAATCTCATAAACTACATTTTAGCATATGGTCTATAAAGTGCTCTGGTTAATATGAGTGGTGCACTGAGGCCTAAATCCAGGCTCTTATCAGTCTGTCTTACATATGTGTATGGCCCCTATTTTACTATAGCATCTGAGTGCTTTACCTCTTTTAATGCATTTATGATCACAACACACTTGTGAGGTAGAAGAATACTATATCCCCATTTTACTGATGGGAAGCCGAGGCACAGAGAACTGTGACTTGCGGAAGGTCAGACAGGAGCAGGAAATTTGAAATGGATCTCAAGTCCCAAATTAGAATGGTTACATCCTTCCTCTTTGAGTATATGGGCTGGGCACTAGAGAAATGCACATGGGGGAATGGATAAATTCTTCCTACCATCTCTAACACCCACTTTCTGTGACCAGCCCATGGAGCAGTTGCAGAGTTCCTGTGTAGAATCTGCTTCGACCCAGTGGCTGAAGTTCACAGCATTACAAAGAGGGTGCTTGCACCCTAAGTTCCCTCTAAGCCGCACAGCTGCCTATTAAGCCCCGCGCAGAGGCTCAGGGCTGTGCAGGAAGAGGTCCCCCTCCCCGCTGGCTCCAGCGCGGACCTGCTGCAGCCAGGGGAGAGTGCCCCTCCCTGCTGACCCCAGTGCGGACCGGCCGGGGGACAGGCGCCCCTCCCCGCTGGTCCCATTGTGGACCTGCCGCGGCCGGGGGAGAGGCGCCCCAACATGGACCTGACCCGGACTTGCTGTGGCTGGAGAAGAAGAGCCCCTCCCTTGGCCCGGCCCGGCCCAGGCCTGCCGAAGCTGCCGCACCCGGGGAGAGGCGCCTCTCCCCCTGCCCCGAGCTGCGGTGAGAGAGGGTTGGGGGGAGTCCTCTCTCCACACTGCAGCCCTGGGACAGCCTGCATCCCCATACTCCTGAACCCCACCCCAGAGCCTGCACCCCAACCCTCTGCCCCAGCCCTGAGCCCCCTCCCACAATTCTAACACCTCTGCCTACCTCCACCACATGAATTTTGTTATGTGCACCAATATGAAGGTGATGTGTCTATATTGGTGCACATAACAAAATTCATTCCGCACATGGAAATAAAAAATTAGAGGGAACGCTGCTTTCACCCCCAAATGGTAGAACTGCTCTGCTTCCACTTCACATTTGCAGGGGAGAGAACTAGATTTTCCTTTTAACATTGCAGGCTTCATGCTAAAATTCTATTTTTATATACGTTTTGACTGATAAAATAACTGAACAGATGAAAAACTCCTAATTTTCCTCTTTGCAACAGCAAGGGAGGTCAAGAGAGAACTCTGAGTCTGAATTCAAAGAGTTTACTATGAATTCTTCATACTTGTGGCATGTGTTTGAATCAAACCCGTGGATCCTCCTGTCCTCTACTTCTTGCTTGTCCATGGGGAATACTGATTCTATAGCAGCCACGCTTTCAGGCCTACCCTCACCACAGTTGACTCAGGGAGGGATGCAGAATGTTTAATACAGCTGAAAACTATATTAACTTTCACTGTGGGTTGGGGAGAATCTGAGGAACCCAACTGGCTCCCTTCTCCTTCCCAACCCCACCTCCAGCTTTGTGCAGTCTGAATCTAGGCAAAATATCTGTAAGGGGCTTTTGCAGATTAAAAAGGGAAATCCTGTTGCCTACCTGGAACACTTCCATAGAACATAAGAACAGCCATACTGGTTCAGACCAGTGGTCCATTTAGCCCAGTATCCTGTCTTCCAACAGTGGTCAGTGCCAGGTGCTTCAGAGGGAATGATCAGAACAGGGCAATTATCAAATGAGCCATCTCTTGTCATCCAGTCTCAGCTTCTAGCAGTCAGAGGATGGGATTGTGTTCCTGATCATCTTGG